ATAATAAATTATGAATTATAATAAATAATAATAAAAATTTGTTTTTGCATATTTTGGTAAATAAAATGCATATTTTACAATTTTTTATTGCATATAAATCCTAGCCCTACTTATTAAGTTACAACAGTAGTTAAAATTATGCTATACCCAAATGTGTTATCCCTGTATTAAAAACATACAGCAAACCAAATTTGAGTACATCATAAAAATAAAAAACAAATAAGAAACCTCAGATAATGTTCTTGTCTATAAGTTAGAGGTTAATTCACACTGTTATTAATTCTTACGAAATATAGATATACTGTTGGGACTGCTCAACTCAAATTCGTTATGGTGTACGTTTGTGAGACATTGTTCTCTTTAAAAAAAAAAATCAGTGAAAAAAAAACTGGATAAGCTATTTTATTATTTTGTATATTTATCAACATTTTAGTATGGAATTATTTACATAAAAGTAAATGGTATACTTGCGCAAAAATTTAAATTTCTAAAATATGCTAAAAATAGTTGTATTTATATGATAATGTATAAATTATATTTTATGCAATGAAAATATTTATTTCCCATATTTATTTTTCACTGATTTTTTTTCGAGAAAAATAGCTCTTTGAAAGTAGTTATTAGAAAATAAGAGATGATAAATGCAAAACGTTTATTGCTATTAGATATATTTTGGAACTAATAACTAAATTCATTTAAAGCTTTTACTGTTTTTTAGACTTCATTATGTGCTCTTAATATTAAAGTATTAAAAGATATTATTTCGAATTTTATTACTGTATCATGAAAAATCGAAGAAAAGTTTGTTTTTGATTATTATATCAATAAATAGTAACRAATACGTGACTGGTTCTGAGATATATTATTTTAACTGTATATATTATGGTGTTTAGTCTACAATTTTAGTTTATGTTTATTTGAATAGTTCATTTTTTGGGTTTCCCAGCACAAAAGTGTTGAAGAAATTAAGAAACTTTGGACAGCAATGGTGTTAACCACTCAGATTCGTTTTTGAACGCAACAATAATTTATCGTTGTTTTAAAAATATATAACATCATAAAAATTATTGTGACACATTCACCCAACTAATATCCTGTATCAGTACTATAATGTTTTAAAACCAAATACGACCGATTTTTTTGCAAATGTACCTATTTCGCATTGACTTCCGAACGCATCACTTTTGTGTTTAAAATAACTTTCTATACAATTGAAACGAGTCCATCCAATCCTGGAATACTAAGCCGTTTATATAGTTATAACTTATAGCTATACAGTTAAACGAGTCTGCACACAGTACACACTTATTACGATCTGCGTACATAATATTATGATGGTGGTGTTCTTAAAGTACGTTGAATAATTAAGTGAAAATTTAAATTTTAAAACTTCTAAGTGTGATTTTAGTGTACTGCTGTGTATATAAACGAACCCGCGTATGCTTTTAGCGTACCTATTTTGTTGTTGTTCTTTACGTAGTCACGCCCACAAGGGAAATGCTTTTACAATTTATTATTATTAGTTATTACCACGTGTGTATTATAGTTGAATACCCACCTCTAATAAACACAATTTATAAACATTAATGGAGTTAAATGCGAACCCAGCCTTACACGGTCATGATATTGTTTTGGGTTTAAGTTTATGTTTTCATGTGTAATATTTTCACATTAAATTTATTTTATCTCGATCTATAGGATCCATTTGGGCACATCATTCAATATAAATATCATGGGTTACATTGTAGTGTCCATCGTGGTTTCTAATAATATAGTGGTATTCTTGGTTTTTGGGATGTTTTACATTTTTTTTACAGCAACTTAAGGACTCCGCGAATGAAAAAGTCTGAGAACCGCTGAGGTAGACAATATATAATACGTAATATAAGCTATTGCGTTGAATGAAAAGCGAACGCGGCGGGTTTATTTTCGCACAAAAATGACCTTTCCCTTTTCATCCACGTTCTTACGACCAAATATTTTTAAATTGTTTTCCTTTTATGCACATTATAATCTTTTTTCCACGATTCTATTATCAAGACTTCGGGAAATACTCTCTTTAAATTATTAGTTTTATGAAGTAGTTTACCATTAACTTTAGAATTGTTCGAACGCTTATGGAATGTTATGCACCGTATCCTATGTTTGTTATACTTTGTATATTATAGATAGTATAAATTGTGTCCTATATAATGTATTATACTTGGTCCGCTACTAATAATAAATAAATACATTTTTATATTTTAGTTAAGACTAAAAAGTGTTAGCAAGAAATTAGCAAAAATCTTACAATATATCACTGCAGGAGAAATTTATTGTTATGCATGCTATTATAAAATGTATTAATTTTTTTAATATTTGATTAATTTTTTTATTTAATTTAATTATTCTAAACTATGTGATAAATTACTTAATCAGATAATCACCTGATATTAGCTAGTAATAATTTCAAAATTTATAACATTTTTTTTAAATTACCAAAAACATAAACACTTTTTGGAGAGCAATCTCTTCGTGATATTCATTGAGTAAACCTAAATGGTGTTATAAAACCAATTTATATAAAATTAAAAATGTAAATTGTTTCAAAAAGTCTTGATTACCTATGAAAACGTGAATTAAAAAGGGGCATAATATTCTTGAGTGATAAGGGATAACCATTTTAAAATGTATGGCTGAAAATATCAAGTACATTTTTGAGCAAAAGTTGCTTTTCCAYTAGAATAAACCTAATAATATCATTATTTTCATTTTTACCTGGTGGCGAATCTTCGGCTCTAATTCCTCGCGCGCATACAACGTCAACTTCGAGCTGACCTTTCGTCATAAGCAATCCTAGTTTAAGTTCAATGTGACAACCTATATTAACACCGTTAATCGTTATTTATATTTAATCAATTAGTATATCATATTATATGATCATTCAAATGAGTTAAAATGAAAAAAATGTTACCTGAACTTATGCCGTATCCACGTGGCATAATTTGGCCCGGACCCAATCGAATCGGATCACTGAAATTCGAATACAAATGTATTATAGCCATATGCCGTATGAAAACTATGGAATTTTTGTATATTGTACTCACCCAACTGGTTCTTCTTCGTATTTGGACGTTGGTTCGGGCTTTTCCATAACAGACTCTTTGTATGGTCGCATACACAAACTACCCCCTTTAATAAAAATAAAAATGTGATATTTTTTCAACAAATATTATATAATATCTAAATGTATTATTTTAATAATATAATAGACATAATATAGCTATGTAGCAATTATTAATATATAATATTATTAAATAGCTAAAATTAATTACTTCGCATTCCTCTCTTATCGCCACAAATGCTCATACTTCGACCAAGTAACTCTCCTTTTACGGCTTTCAGATTTTTGAGAATTTCGTCTGGATCTTGTCTGGGGGTGCACGAACTCCTGCGTCGACTCCTATTCGTGTAGGGAGTTGTCGTTAGCTCAGGATCTGTGGGATATTAAAAGCATATAGTAAACTGAGAAAAAAAATTAACAAAAACTATAACTTACCTTTTTCAGTGTTTTGTATTGATTGGAACGAACTCCGACGAGACCCAGGTAATGATCGAGAGAAATCCTTGTTCAATTGATACGGTTCAACGTCCAGCTGTTCCGACTGGCTTGATCCTCGGCGTGAGTTCGCCATATACGCGTGATCCGGATGCAAGAATCCATCGAGTTCACGTTCTTCTGCAATTCATGTGGTTGTGTAGTATATTGTTAGGATAGGTCGATAAAATGATTGTCATCATAGTGTAATATGTACCAGATACTGAACGGATTTGACCCCGTAATCCTCCTTTCCCATTTTCGGAAATTGAACTCCTAGGGGATTTAGAGGCTTTACTATGATTCGGTGACTCCAATTCATACCATATCATTGCGTTGTCTAAAAGTGCGTTTTGTAAATTTACTACAAACTCACCTGTAAATATACCGAAGACGTCAGATAAACTTAAACTATATTTTATTAGATTTACTTTAAATTGTTTTTTATTTATATAAGTTACCCAATATTACGTCCTCTTTGTCTGGTCTGTAATCGTAAAGTATGACTTCCATTTGCTTTTCAATTAGTGTCTCAGAACGAACATTTGGCATTTCAAGTGTGGTATTCCATATAGGATTCAGTGATGGTTCTGCGACTTCAGTCCTTACAATATTTGTCTCCACACTGSAAAGCAGATTAAATAAAAATTCTTAAAACAATTTTAGGTAATTATGATATATGATATACATATAATAAATATATTGTATATACACGACTTCCGAAAGCTATTAAAACTGATTGTATGGTATCACAAATATATTTAAAAGAAAATCATATTTATATATTTTTAACAAATAACCGGAATAACAACATGAGTATTATGCTGTTGATCAAGGGAGGGAGGTGGCTCTAGCTTTTTCAGCACCCAGTGCAAGTATTTTTACGGAGCTCTTCGCTCTCTTTTTGATATATAACCAGACAACCACGCGCCCCTCTGATTTCTGCGCTGTTGTACCTATGCTCACGCCAAATCTATCTAAAGCTGACCCTGCTGTTTACCGTTTATAATATTATATATAGCAGTTCAAAAGTATCATGAACAACGAACATAGGTAATRCATATCTATTATGTTAATATTTACTAAATAGAACGAATTTATTTTAGCGTTTAATAGATATTTAAAACCGTACATTATTCGCGATCTACTTGTAATGATTAAATCTTATGAATATTATTATTCTTTATCTATGAGTACACTATTTTCTATGAAAAAAAATAGTATAATATTTATCATGAATTTGATTGTGGTGAATTTTTATAAAATTGAAAAGTGAAAATTATAAACTTTAATAGTTTAAATATAAAATTAAAAACAAATTAAAACGGAAATTGGAGTTTCTTTGGGTAAAAATTAAAGCTACACGTTTATGTTTATGTGATTAAGATGGAAAAAAAAAGATAGTTGGAATATTAAGTTGATAAAAACTAAGTAATGAAAGAACGTATAGGTACATTCATTATTTAATGTGCGTTACAGGGTTATTGTATTGTATTCCTCTTTAAAATTAATAATGAATTCTTAAGAAATATCACAATTTTAATATCTACAAAAAWTTTTTGTTCTCATTCGAAATTATATTGAATCCTTGGAAAAAATAATAAGAAAAATTAAAATATGAAAAAGGAAGTGAATAGAAATTTACAAACACATAAAAAATTGTTTCCTGAAGATTAAAACGCACTTTTTAATTATTTTCATAGTTAAATTAGTTTTAAAACTTATGAAAATGATTATTTAGTAAAAACATAATATTTGATGGCTTAAAATTTGAAAATATAGTAGTTGTAGGTACCTAACCTATACGTTTGAAATTTACAAAAATATCGTGTTGTATTTGTAGTAATTAATTATTAATTATTCAACGATTTTTCGTTCATTTAAATATTATTTTAAGTTTTAATAATTATACGAATTAATAATTGTTTCAATTATATCCAAGATATCAAAAAGAAGGCTTAACACCGTCAAAACTTCTTTTTAAATGTAATTAACTTATAAGAAAGCCACATGAAAAACTATTTAAAAAAGTTTATAAATGTACTATAGAATATATGAAATGTTGGAAAAAGCAAACAAAAGAGTAAAAATTAGTATAACTAAATGAAAATAATAATTCAGTATTTATACGACGTATATTGTATGCACACACCTATATTATTTATATGATATATATAATACATGTATAATATTATGAATACAGCAATATACAATGCTCATTTGGTAAAAATATTATTTGTCATAATAATAATTTGCATGTTTTTAAAATTTAAACACACAATATTATAACACTGAGAGTTTATTTATATATTTATGATTAAAGAGCACTTTAAACATAAATTAGTTATTATTGAATTTTGATGGATGGTTTTATTCAACTCCCTATAAGTATGTGTCATTCTAAAATACATTTTTGATTTTCATATTATGATTGTTTTATTTGTAATAATTAAAATTTTTTCATTTTCCTTTTATATTA